GTTTCCTGTGAAGATCACATGACATCTTAAAATTAATAAAATGAGCAAAAGCCAGTGGAATGAACCTAACTTTGAAATGAACTTTAACTATTTTTACATCTAAGATTGATGTAAAAATCAACCATTATAATTTTAATGGAAAGTGTAATGGTTGATATTGATATTGGAAATTAGTATGATATCAGCCAAAAAATGAGAATCAGATTATATTGGCCTACATCTAATATCTTCAATATTAGATATTGAATATTAGATATGTGGATAGAAGAACTCCACTCTAACATTAGCCGTCCCAGCACTTCTGTCCAGAAGTGTTTGCATTGAGCTCACAAACCCACTGACTAATAGTAGTCACTTTTTCTCATACCCATTGCTGTTTTCTGTTTTAGTAATATCACTATTCTAACATTTCACCCTACAAAATGACTCCTGGGTCATATTAACTGAATACTTTCAGTTATTTTTTTCTTTAAATAACGAAAAAAAATAACGAAAAAAGCCCATCTATCATTTTGACAGATTGGTGCAGACATTTTTGACTTTTTGCCAGAATACATTTTGGAGGCAACTAAAAGCAACAAATGAAAATAAAAAACACCCCTTCTGGAAATCATCTCTGACACTGAACTAGGTGCATCTCATTGATTGGAAGTTGACAGAAGCCCCTTGTTGAAACTGACTGCTTGGAAATTTTTTCCATCATTAGAAATGTGCCATTTCACTTAGAGCACAACATGGAAGTGGAGTGTGAGACGAACCTGTGGTGAGATCGGTGCTCCTGGTGTCTGTTCCTTCTGAGCAACCTTTAGTTGCAGCAATGCTGTCTCAAGCTCCACAGAGTTCAGACAGGCCACTTCTGTCTGTGCCCGACGCTGAATACACACATAGGCACCCACACAAACACAGATACTATCAATGGCTACAAATATCCTGTGGTATATTCACTTGAATCAACTTTCAGATACAACAGGTTTTGATGAAAAGATAAACATGAATACAAAGGCATCCCTGTATTTGTATTCAGAATCACCTGCAAGTGGAGGAGAGGGTTGTCTTTGTTGAAAGAAGATGAGCGTGACAGTGTTTCTCTTCTCTTCTCCCGGAGTGAAGATGCCTCCTGGTTTCTCCTCATCCTCTCCAGCTGCTCCTCAACACTCATCCTTGTTCTGATGAAATCTCGCTCCCCAAATCCCATCTGATCCACTGCACTCCTTGGACGATCCTGAAGAAGACTAGACTCAGTGTTGTGCTTTAATGTTCTGGTAACCTGTGTGAAAAACACTGCATGTAGACTAGAGTGAACCTTGAAAATAAGGAATAGTAGTTTCAGTGAAATGGATCTTGAACACATGGAAGGAAATTTTAAATGTATATGGGAATGTAAATGTAAATGTAAATTCTGAACTTTGAATATATTGAATGAAAGTCTGACTATGTGTTGGGCCATGAAGGGTTGAACTACAGAAGGACATAAGAACTATTAATGCATCAACCTCCTTTCAGTTTCAACAGGAAACTGAAAGGATGAAAGTGACATCGTCTTCACAAGAGCCAGCTCCTGACAGAACTCCACTCATTTTCAAGATTGACTGCAAAACATTTAAGATGTTATATTCCAAAATACTAAATTAGATCCTTTACTGCTTTTTTTGCGCAACACCCCCCCCCCTTCTCTCTCTCTACTTCCTCTTCTGAGAGGAGGGAGATGTGCTAC